AATTAATTACAAAAACCTTGTTCAACTATTGAGCAAGCCTCAATGAGTAAACAACGTAATTTATAGGTCTGTAAGTAGAGGAGGTACAAACTGAACACATCAGCAAAACTAGGAATAGTTCCACTCTGACTTGCCATAACGAAACTGGGCAGGCATCTCTATAAGAGCAGATGGCAATATATGGTACGCACATAACTGTAATATAATATTTAAGACCCATTAATTACATGTTACGGCAGTTAAGCCAGCCAGACATACGCCCTTTAACTCAATTATAGGATATAGGGTATGATGAAAAAAAAAAAACCACAAACAATTTTAAGCCACAAAATTAAATTCACACCGAGCACTTTTCTTTTTCTCTTTCACTTCTTCGTTTTTTCGTTTTTGAGCTGTGTTTGCTTTGGTGTTGAGATCGCTTTTTTTCTCTCACGCTGTATTTCGGCGAGCTGTCACAGCGAGGACCCCCTGGCTGGGTGCCCGGGTGACAGGGTGCCAGGGTGCTAGGTTCTCGGTCTTTGGTCCCTGGCTGCACGATAATGGATATCATGTTGCCGCTGGGTTTACATTTTAGTTTTACACTTTTCGTGGTAATAAACACATGACAGCATGCAGGGCTCCTAGCAAAGTACAAGGAAACAGCAAAAGTCTATGCCAAATAGTTCCCAGAAGCGAGTTAGCCCAAATTTGAAAAATTGTATGGAAAAGAGCTTCAAGTTGAGGTAATTTAATTTTATTGAATAATAAAATGCATTTAATAATCTAATCTTGCTCTCATTCCATTTCTTCCAAATATTTAATCAAAAAAATCTTTGGCAGCCTTTTTTAATTAAGTAATTTCCGGCAGATAATTAAATTAATCTGCACGCAGCACTTTGCGAAATTGCGGCGAAAGCGTTTCGCGGAATTCACGGCAAACATATTTTTGCTTATAAGCAAAGTCCTTTCTTTTTTATATATTTATTTCGCTAGCTCCTGAAAGGGTACGAATTTTGGATGTCCTTTTGTGTTTGTGCGCTGTCTCCATCCCTCTCCCTGTGCTTGTGTTTGTGCATATGCGTGTGTATGTTAAATGTTCGCACTCCCCGAGGAAAAATAATTCGAATGCCGGCTGGCAACAGAAAATATTAATACTTTTTCATTTACTTTTCGGCTTGAGGGGAAGAGAGGGGCCAAGGCGATCCGAAGGTTTTTAGCCAAAAACTTTGCCAACTTGACCAAATATTTTGTTTGTGCACAAAGTTTTGCGCATATTTTATGTGCAGCACTTGAGCGAGAGTTTTGCGACCTCTTTCAGACGCTGACTAATGGCTTTCGGTGGAACTACATGAAGTCGACATGCCAATTGCTCTGGCTTTAAATAATCAAATTAAATGTCAAGTCAAACGCTTGCACAGCGCCCCCGCCCCGAAAAGTATGCCGCATTATTTTGGATTTGCGCTTACTTCTCCTCCACTTGCTATCAGTGAAGGTCCTGCGTGCCATTAACCTTACTCAAAGGAGCCTATCTGCGCGTAATTAGGTTGCCAAACGGAGGCAGCCAGCCGAGCGGAGAGCCAGTCGGAATCAGAGGCTGGAACGGAGCCACGACCTTAATATTAATATTATTATAAATAAATTTAAAGCGTAAACTCGCTTAGACCTCAAATTTAACACAAACGCGCACAAATCCTCCAACGGCAGACAGATAAATTCAGGGCGGTTGGATAAAGATGAAGGTGGAGCGAGAGGGAGGCTGAGCGGTGCGATTTGCGGCAGGCGTGAACCACATCATAAAGCGAAAGCTAAACCCTTCTTGGCTGAAAAATGACACTTCCGCAAAAAGGCGACGACGAACGGAAGGCCTAAAACAACGAAAATTACAGGCACAGCCACTGGACGCAGGCGCTGCCATGTGGTGCTGCCCGAGTGGTGCGAGACGGGCGCTTTGGCTTTGGTTTCGGCTCGGGATTTGATTTCCTGACTTGCCTCTGGGCCGGGCCCGACTGCTTTATCAACATCGAAGGCAACTCTGTAAATCGACACGGCCAATTTTATTATTGGGGCCCCAAGAAAATTTCTCTTTCTTTTGCCTGTATAAATTGGCAGCAACCGCCAGCCGCCACCCATTCGGTTACCCTTTCCCCCAGGCCTGTCTGAGCCACTTTGTTTGTACGGCCTGCGAGGAATCGAATTAGCATGCAAAATCTTTTGTTTGACTAACAATGTGTCAAAGTGTGTGACGAGCGCGCTTTAGTCTTTGTCGAGGTAAGGCCCACAGCCCACACAGCCTACTCACTCACCACCACCAGCCACCACTCTCCACTCTTTGGAGCCTTCGGGCCATTAGGCTCGATAAAGTCACAGCCACTGCGCACGTCTCCCTAAGGCCACTGGCGGCTGACGAGCCACAATGCTGGCCACCTAAATGGAAACCGCAAAAAGATTGCGCACACAAAGTTAAGTGAATTATTGCTGCAAACATTATCCTAGGCGAGGGAGACAAACGCTTAATTAAGCATTAACCCAGCTGCCGTTGCACAACAGTAATTCCTCTAATTGGTCACATGGCCACAATGTCCATTTGAAACAATCAAAGTGGGGCAACCTTTCACGGCGTGCTTCTATGGCCAGCTCCGCTGAGTGTGCTTCATAATTTTATTTTTTTATCTTTTTATTTTTGCATATACCAAGCCATAAAAAAGTTCAGCTCGACTCTAGGGCAAAAGATTCCAAATTATTTTTTATGTTAATTTTATGGCTCGTTTCTCATTTGCTGCGGAAATTGTTGAAAATGCGTGAAATCATAATCGATATGTTTAACACTTCAGCATTTATTGACGAAGTTCGCCAGCATTCTCGGCTAATGAGCTCGCCTTGCCAGTGGTAATAGAATAAATTGGCATTCATATACGTCCTGAATAGCATTGTTAATTAACTGCTTACGTACCGTGGCCCAAGAAGCATTTAAAGCGTATTCCACAACAGTTTGAGGCCAGGCTGAAGCCAAGTAGAAGCACAGTCCATTAGCAGCAAGAACTCGAGTTGAGCTTTATAACATCAGTTGAAGCTGCAATGAGGCAAGAAATATTTCAATCAATAGGATTTACGTTTCTTAGCTTTGTGGCAAATACTTGTTTGTTGCTCCTAATTCTAATGACATCTATGCAAAGTCTTATCAAATTTTTATAATAAATAAGCTCTGAAGATGCTGGGACAAAGTTTCTTTTCTCTTCTTTTTATATTTATTTATTTACACAAACTTTGGCAAAGTATTTTCTTTTCCTTTTAATATCCTTATGAGTTGGGAATTTCAACAAAACATTTCGATATTTTGAATATTTTAAATAAGCTGTTACATAATAAAGTTGTCTCTGGGGACAGCATATGAGGTAATCGCTTTGCGAGGAAGAATTAAGTATGTATGTAAAAAGTTCTCTCTCATGGGACTATATGCGCTAATTGGGATAAGTAAAGTTCTCTTTAGAGCGAGTCTTTGAGGTATATGAGAATATGTAAATTCATGTGTTTATATATTATATTTGCTGTCCATAAGAGTTGATTTGGCATTTGTTATTTGATAATGGATATTAACTATACATATATTATA